ATTTAACCGGTGGCTTATAATAAGTGGAACGATGTATAACTTGCCTCGATGCACGAATTTTAATTAAACTTCCACTCTCGTGTTTGTCATCGAATCACGCTTCATTTTCGATAAAGCGGTACAAGTTACCGGTTAAACTTTGCTAAAGTTTTAATCTAATTTCTCGAAATTAACGGTCATTTGTCCCCTCTCCCCCTCCCCATTTCGGGCCAGGGGTCCGGCCCAACGTCGAAAAACAAGGTAAACTACGATAAACGTGGACGCGATACGTAGTATCGATCACCGTCGATCGGGGGAGGAGGGCCACGGCGAACGTTGGAAATTAGGAGTACAAAAAGTGGAAGCCGTGGTAGGTGGAGGAGGAGATTGAGAGGGGGGAGAGGGAGAGGGGCTGCAGTGCGGGCGTGGGGAGGAAGAGAAGAAGAAAAGTGAGACGAAAAGAGGAGTCGGCTACAACCCTTGCCGATAAACCGACACCATACCAAACCCTTTCCCCTTCCCTTCCCCCCTCCCACGGGTTGTGACAGTTTACTCGCGGTTCACTTGTCATCGGCAAAGATACAAAGATAATTGGTCATTGGGGTATGCCGTGGCGCGGGTCGGAGCGAGATAGACGCAACCAAGTACTTTGAAGAGGACAAGCACTTTGAACAGATTTGCTTTGGCCGTTGTTTCGGCCTGGTATTTTAGTTTAGATCAAAAGACTGACGCTACTAGCCAATTCAGCCGTATCTAAGCTGCCGACTGTCACCCTGTCTCTCTCTCTCTCTCTCTCTCTCTCTCTTCCGTCACCGTGTAACTCCTCCCCTCCCCGTCTTCATCTCCCTATTTATCTCTAACTACGTTTCTCCGGATTTCCACTTGCATTCGCGCCGCGCCTATTCGAATCCTGTTGCATATATGGAATATGCACTTTGGAATATATATACACTCTTGGCTTTGATGCCGTGTGTATAATAACCGAGGCGGATGTGGCCGCTGCGAAAGGGATACGGCACGAGATTGGCGAATTGGAGAGGATCATTCGCCGGCCAGACTGTTAAATAATTATCCGTTAATAAGACTTTCTTTGTTAATACCGTTGGATTAACGCCAACGCCAACACATCTCGTTTTATTCTCTGCTTCGTTCATTCCGATCTGTGACATAGGTGAGAGTAAAGATTCTATAGAACGAATCGTCGAATTGAATCTCCATCGAGCTTTTCCATTAGATCTGATACCAAAGTTCGTTACTCGTTTTCGACGTTTTCACCACCGAGTATAATGTCGAGGACAGAAAAGACACGAGGAAGAGGGAGGAAGGGAGAGAGAGAGAGAGAGGGAGAGAGGAAACGATGGAAAATGGTACTAGGAAGGACGATGAGGTCCGGGAGGCGGAGAAGCAGCGGCGTCGAGCCTAGGACAGGCATGCATGGTTCCCAGATTTGCATCTCAATGGCAAGTAATATAAATTACACGTAATTACCCGGCCGTTCGAGAGAGCCGTGAATTTTATTCCACCGCTATTTCGAGCCGCAGTCACACTTGGGGGAGGGAGATGGAGGACCGTGGCTTCGTGCCACCTGGCCAAAGATCGTTCCGATTCTTCGTACGAAACCTGAATTTAATCGCGATTCATCGTTTCGTTCGAGCGATTCGTTCTCGCGGCTTGGAATCGCGTCAAATCAC